TGTTCAAACAGCCGGTGGCCGGGCGTCGGCAAAGAGCCCTTTGTGCCTCTGAGGCGGCTGCCGCCCGCCCGCCCTCGGGGACCAGGTCAGGCTGCGAGCCCGTCGTCTGCTGACACATTAAAAATGCAGAGGCACCCGAGCCGGGAAGCTGAGCCGCCCGTGTCGGCGTTTCTCCCGCAAACACGGGGACACTTTCCACGGCAGAGTCTCCTGTTTCCTCACGTTTTGCTCATTTGTCTGCTTGGCCTTTTCTGTTGTTTCGTGTTGAGGAGATCGGATCTTCATCGCTACGTTTGGCTGTTGCTTTTCCAACTTCATAAAGAGCCATAGTGTTTGTGATTGAAAGAAGCAGCGCCCTCCGCCCCCTGCCCCCGAGACTCTGCTGGGAAGTTATCCTGGGGCCGCGGCGCTTCCCTGACCCGGCTCTCCTCCCCGTCAGCAGGAGCGGCTGGGGGTGACTGTCGGGTGGTTCTGGGTTAAAAGAGAGGACGGGGACCTTGTGGAGCAGGTGACCAGAGAACCAGTAACCAGCGAGCAATTGGCGGTGGGTCAGAACCAGCGCACGTGGTTAGCCGGTACCCAGCGCGGTGCCGTCGGGGAGCGGGCCGTGCTGCGCACGTGGAATGCACAGCATCGCTTTAGCGGCCGGTCCCCACGAGGAGCAGCGGGACAGACAGGACCCTGCCCCGCCCAGGAGGGGCCTGCGGAGCCCTCCCTCCCGGCTCCGGCTTTAGTCTCTGGACAGTGACCCTTGTTGGTCCCTGTGTTGGAGGTCGTCAAGCCGGCACCACCCACAGGAGGAAGGAGGCTGCCCATGGCCTCTGTAGGCACTCCCACCCAGGTGCCCCTTCCTGCTGGGAGGTCCTCCTTGGGGCTCTGGGTCCGGGGCCTCCACTCCCCGCTGGGCTGGCAAAGGACAGGCCGCCCGGCAGCTCTCACCTGACAAGAGCCTGGGATCAGGTTCCATGGGTGGCCCGCCTCCTGCACAGGGTGGAGCCCGTTCTCTAGACGCAGCGGGCACATCAGCCTGGTGCGCTCTGCCCTTCAGCGTGGGCAGGAGGAGAGCTGGGCGGGGCGGGGACCTCGCCC